AAATTTATTTAAAATAATATCATAAAAAGTGGGTGTCGATTTTATTGCCAGAATAATCATGTTAGGTTTTCAAAAAAAAAAAAAAAGAAAGAAAAAAGAATAATCATGTTATAAATATAATTTCATTAACCATATTAATTATCTTCAAATGTGATATAATACAATTTTTTTTAAGAAATATTCCATCAATTTATTGCCATTCACATACTAATTTAACTCCCTTGAAATTTAAGATTTTATCCCAACTTATACATTTTATCGAACAAAATCTATGATTAATACAACATAGGATGTGTGAGTGATATAGTAGAATGAGTGATTTTGAAAAAATAATAATAATAATAAGTATAATTGATTTTTCAAAATCATCATCCAAGAAATTAAAAATAAATTTAAAGTGATTTTAAGGTATATTTGGAAATGATGGTAAAATGACTCATTTTGAAAAAAGAGATTTAAGTATAATTAATTTTCCAAAATCACCGTATAAGTCATACTTTAAAAATCAATTTAAAGTGATTTTAAAATTTTTTAAAATCAAAATTTTAATTTACCAAACATGATCAATAGAAAGGGGAGTGATTTTGACAATGGCAAGAGTGATTTTAGTCGCGCCAAAATTACTTTCATTTCCATTGATCATGTTTGGAAAATGAAAAAATTGATTTTAGGTAAATATAAAATCGCTTATAATTTATTTTTAAAGTATCACTTGGGTGCTGATTTTGAAAAATCAATTTTTCTTAAATATCTTTTTTTAAAATCACTCCTACCCTCAAACCCAAACTCCCAAACATACCCTTAAGCTTTCTTAGAATCAATTTTTTTAATTTGCTAAGCAATCCTAAATATCAGAAACTTATTACACAAAATCCTATTTTTTTAGAACGAGTTGAAGAAATAGGCATTATTTGTGGAGAAGAAGTAATAAATTGGGGATTATCGAGACCCATGGTTGTAAAAAATAAATATTTTAATAATGGTAAAAGTGATTTTTGTATGACAAACACATCTATAATTTATGTTGCAATTATGCATGCCAACTACCATACTATTAAAATTTTACGGTTACTTTTGTTTTCAATTTTTAAAGAATTTTACTTATTATTATATCGGACCACCGAGCCCATATAGAGTTGATAAGCTGTGTAATAAGTGACCATTTCTAAACAATTGAATAGACACTTGTGTCATTATGTAATGGCACCCTATCTAGTTTTTGGGTCAAATATTTGTTCTTTTTAGTACAACAAGTGAGGTGGAGGATCGAACTCATAACTTGTTGATTGGATATATATATCAATTACCACTAAAACTACTCGTTTTAGCATTTGGGTCAAATATTCGTTATTCCTACCCAAAAAGAGAGATTCTTTCCTAACCTGAGATTAGTGCTCCAATCATTACCAATTTTTTTTCATTTCTCAAACATCCTTGATAAATTTAAAAAGCAAAATAAATAATCGATGTTGATAAATATTTATAAAAAATATTTAAATTAATAAATAAACATTTCACCATTTCTAAATAAATTTAAAATGATTAGTAATAATATTATGGTTATATTAGTGATATTTTATTGATATTTTATCAATTTTTTCTTTTTGTAGTACTATAAAATTGTCGATATTGAACCCAAAGACACATAAAAATATCGATGGAAATGATTTTGAAACAAAATTTATTTTAATAGGTGGAATGAAATATTGTTTGAGGCATAAATTTTGGTAAGTAATTGAATCCGAATGAAAAAGGAAAAAGAAAGGAGGAGACAAGCATGAGATGGGAGCTACTCAAAACATGCCACATGAGAATATTGACTTTTGACATGACGCGTGGACATGCCACATGATGTGTCAATTCTCACATTCATACATAGAGATGATGACACATGCATACGTGTCATTTTATATATGTTTTTAACCTTTTAAAAAAATAGTTTTCCTATAACTACTCTATCCCTAGGTTGGATAATTGGAAATTATTTGAGAGAAATAAAAACAAACACAAAGTGAAATTTTGTTTGGAAATTTTGTCTACGAAAATTTCCAAAAGTTTGATGTAAACGGAAAAAGCTGAAATTTATAGGTAGCAAGACCTAATGTAATAGAATAATAAGTTGAATTATAACGTGACAAAAATAATAATGATTGTCATAATTGATTTACGTAGATAAATACACTCGCAATCAAATACTGTCTCTGGCCATCTTCCATTACTTTAACTATCAAAATATAGGTCCATCACCTTATCAGTATCTGATTTGATCGATATAAAACGTAAAAATAAAATATGATGTAGCCATCCATGTAAATTTTAGTATGGTAGTTCGACCTATACGAAATAAAAAATCTATCTCATTTAAGTATATGAAGAACACCTCGATGACTTGATAGGAGAGTGGGGCCAACAAAATTACATTAGAAGTTAGGTTAACCTAACTTCACGATGGCCCATTGATTCAAAATTAAAATAAAATAAAATAAATTTATGTAGACTTATAATTTCTAGTTTAGTAGATATCAATTTTAATGGAAAAAATGGAATATGAACTAACTATGCTTTTTCAAGATCAAATATTTGTAAATAAATCTTAAGCGTTCATCTTACCTATAAATTTGATATCAAATCAATTTGCGGGTGAGACATGGAAATTAGAGATATCTTTTGAATTGATTAATTTAAGAAAAGAAGTTTAGATAGTTTGATTTATAGTATCAGTTAACCTGAGCTAAGCGATAATTGGTATGTATTCCCACTCTCGAGGTTGGAAGTTTGATTTCATGGTCATTTACTTTAAAAATTAGTAATTTTTTTGTGTTTTCTAACATTAAATATTGTAGAGTCGAGCGTTTGTCTCGTAAAATTAGTCGAGATGCAGTCAAACTAACCTAGAAAAAAAAAAGAATTATAATATAAATATTCGACAATGCCTTTTGCTATTTAATTATTGCATAATCAGCCAAATATTTTGTATGGACAAATATTAATTAAGTTCATCATTATTAGTGTATGAATTTAGTGCATAACATGTTCGTAAAAATTAATATATTTCAAATCGAGAATATCAAGGAAATAAGCTTGATGCACTCTCCAAGCACAATCAATATTAATTTTGAAGTGTCCAGAAGTTTAAAAAAAAAAAATATATATATTAATTTTGAAGTTTGGATATATTCTAATTAAAAAATTAACTAACTACTATTATAGTATTATATAATATTTGTTGCCAAATGCATTATTAAAATTATTATAAAGCTATTATATCTTCCTCCACAGTAGAGAGGGGCCAGAATTTAATCATTTCAAATTATCGTAATTCATTATCTTTTATCAGGCAATGATTTCGCGTTGAAACGGTGGATATTAACAATTGTCAGTGAATTAGTTACCTAAAAATAAAAATGTTGTAATTAAAAGTAAAAACTTACCTAAAAATGTACATAAAAACATTAATATAGGCTAATATTCAGGTTTCCCCCTTAATTGTTAATAACAAAGAGAAATAATTATTATATATTAAATTACAGTATTCATTTTTATTTTATCAATATTTAGGTTTATGTTTAGAAAAAGGAAGATCCTACTTAAAAATTGAAAATTTAAATAAATTATATATTAAAATTGTTAATATTTTTGTCATGATGTATATCTTAACTAATTGAATTATGTTGTGGAGCTACTGAAACTAAAAGTGGGGATTTTTTTTTATAAAACTAAAGATAATTGAAGATTTTTTCTACATATAATATTATTTAGGGTTGATAAAAACCAAAAAGAAAATCTTATTAAAGTATATTAATGTTTGTATATTTCATTTCCTTATAACCATTTATTCTATCTATGGTAGGTTTATTCAAACCCATATTTGAAAAAAGAACACGGTACGGTATCTAGAATTTCTAAAATTATGTATGGATAGTCTTTTTTTTCTAATTCATTATTCTCTGTTCCAATTTTCCAAAATCTTAATAAAGTTTTTCTTTTCTTTTTTTAACCTCAGCCCACGAATTGCGCAATCATCCTTCTTTCCAACGATTTCATTTACTTCATAATATAAATATACTTACATTTTTAAATTTATAATCAAATCTTAGTTAGAAAGAACATATAAGTCAAATTTTAAAGCCAAAATTTCTCTCTGCTATGAGGGTTTTTTCGGTCCATTAGACTGATCCAAACTTTGAGTTTTTTGAGTATCAAGATTGGAAGTTCATTCTAATGATAGAGGAAAAAGAAACAACACTAGATATTGATAGTTCAACAGCGATATTGACTATGAAAAAGACTAGAATCAAGTATTGTTTGGAAACTTCCATGGAAGATAATTATAAGTAGTGAGGTGATGCATAATGTGCTCAAAATGACTTGGAAGATAGAGAATGGTCTAACAATTGAATTCTTGTACAGAAATCTATTCCTTTTCATTTTCTTCCACTACTTTTACCCCATGGAACATACGATACAAAAATGTGAAACTATCTACGTACCAATGGTTGCGCTATCAAATAACCTTTAAAATCATTCGTCGAAATTTCAATAAGTCATAATAGATATGTAGCAAAAATTTGAGTAGATAGGGTGAATTATTGTTGGAAACTTCTAATAACTTTCAAATAAATCTAACAAAATTGTCCTCAATTACAATTGTCATATATCTCCAACCAAAAAATTTTCGATCCACATCTCATGACATAATTAAATGTTGTTCATATAATTGAGACACAGTTTCAGCCCATGCTCATATAATTGACAAGTGGAAAAAAAATTCCTTAGTTATAAAAAAAAAGCTTTAAAAATGTTGTTTTTAGTTTTTGAATTTTAGTAAAGCTATCAAAAGTAAAAATGCAAAATAAAGAAATATATAGTAAATAAGCTTAATTTAAAAAATGGAAACCTAAAGAAAACCCAAAAAAATTCTAAACTTTGAAAATTTCAATTTGTTTAAGTATATCAAAAGATGGAAAGTAAATAAAATAAAATCATCCAAATTACAAATATATACCGTCTTCCGTAATAAAACAAAATAGAACCTTTTCAAGGAAATGATCGCATAAAAATGGCAGAGATATTCAGAATCCCAATTCCCAAATCAGAATGATACGAGAGAGAAGGACCCACAAAAATATAGAGAAAGGGGACCGCCTCTGATCAGAAAACCAGGGCAGAGCGAGCTTTTGGGGGTAAACCAGCAAGAAATTCAGAAATCAGAGGCTATACAGAAGAAATTCAGAAATCAGAATCAGCAGCAATCKGAGGCAGCGTTTGAAATTGAATCGAACCTGGTAGGGATACAGTACTCTACTCGCCGCAAGGAAACAACAACTTCGTCCAGCTAATTTCCCCTGCTCTCGCTTTTCCCGGCAAAAAGATGAAACGATCAACAAAAACAAATTAAAATTCTCCGGCGGTTGCTTTTGGGGGTGGAAACATGTCCGGTTTGACTTTGTAACAGAAGAAAAAGCCCTCTGGGGTGCACTTTCTGATATGATTGTCAGCCCCAGAAAAAGGTGTCTTCCAACAGTTCTTTCCCTGTTAATTTAGGGCGAGGGGATGGTCAAATCAAACTCTCTCCAATTTCACGGGGACCCCAAGAGAGCATTCGGGATTGCTGCTCGCTCGATCGGCTTATAAAAGCCACATTCCAGCAGCTTCTTCGGGATTGGAATTCGGAATCGTTCAGGTAAACGAATTTTAACGACTGTAAGTTTTGACTTTTGAGGTATCTTTTCTTTTTTCTTCGGCAAAATCTTTCTCTCGCTCGGTTGTTTGGGGAGATGGAAAGTTTTTGAATCTGGGTTTTACTAAAAGGGAAGTCAGATGGGTAGTTTTATAAAGAATTTTAAAAGGGTTGGGTTGGGGGATGTATCAAATTGCCAAAAACCAAAGCCAAATTACTAGACCGTTCGCTTCCCCTTATTAATTGCACAGAGAGAGAGAGAGAAAGGGACGGTGCCTTACATAGTTGACCTTTAATTGGTGAAACAGATAATAACAACTCATCTCTCTCTCTCTCTCTCTCTCTCTCTCTCTCTCTCTCTCTCTCTGCTTGTCGTAATAAACTTTGATGTCTATACAGGCACACCTCTTTGTTCCAGTTTGCTTGGTGGGTTCTTTCTGAACAGTTGCTTTAACGCATTGTGGAATGCATTTTCCTCTGTTCCTATAGGCGCCAAGGTTCTCTCCCTTTCTTTCATCTTCCTTATTTTTTCTTCTTCTTAGTTCTATATTAACTGATTGTGCGAGGAGGGATCATGGTTGTTGTCAATCACTTTCTTATGTTCTATGCTCCTGCCTGTATCAGAATCTCACACGCTCAATATTTTCACTTTAAGCTTCCTCCATCTGTTTTCCCCATATCTTGTTTGAAGCATAAACTGAATAGCCCTTTTTCMATTAACATGGAGAAAGGAAAGTTGGGGTTGGGTTTTTTCTTYTTTCTTTTTGTGGCTCTCAAATAAGTCAACTGTTGCAGCATATTTTTTTTATTGGGGTTGAAATTTGTTTGGAAGTGGATCTGTTCTATCAGTCAGATTCTGATTCATATGATGGTTGAATGATTTCTTTTTCTGATTCTACGTATCAGTGCGCAGAATTGATGAATACCTATCTGGGTTTTCTCTCAGTTCTTTGGAACTTTCTTCCAGTTTTTTCTTTTTCTTTTCTTAAATTATAAGATTAAAGAACAAGTTGGTCGGATCTAGTCGGGACTACGAGACAAAAAGGGTGGTGGGAATTTTGATAGGGGCCGATCTCGGATACCTTTTGATTTAATAGTTAGATTTTGGGTTTTAATATTGCAGTTCAGGTTTTTGCATGGACAGGACACTGGATTTGCTTGAAATTTTTCCTTACAGAGCATTCCATGTGTGGTGTGTAGTGTACAGATTATTGTTTACAGTGACCGTGTCTGCCCCTTGGAAATTAAGTTCTTGACTCGATCTCCTCTTTTAATCCGCTTTCTTGTTCACTCTATGGGCGAATATATGCTTTGCGGGGCAGCATAATTTACAAAACCACACGATTTTTTAAGCAGTGAAAGTGATCGAGTGGCTTTTTTTTTTTTTCCCCCCTTCTTATAGCTAAGTCAATGGAATAATAATTCTTTCGTTTGACTTCTGGRAACATTGCGGGGAAAACCTTCTTATTTTGACTCTAAACTTAAAAGTTGGCTCTCTTTTACACTTCTCGAGCTGACCTTCTGCTTTGTGTATTGTTAATTTATTGTGTAGTTGTATAAAGCTGGAAGGTTTTGTCTTGGCTTTTTCACTCTAATTTTCTTTCCAATGAATTGACAGAGTCTCCACATGGTAGCCATCTCAAGGCAAATTTGATGCATGTGTGGAAAAAATCCATTGGAACAGTGCATGCAAATCATGAAAGTTGGTAAATATCATATTCTACTAGWTTTTGTTTTTTCCTTAAACGAAATACCAGTTTAATATTTTGTTATATTTCTGTACTCGGCATCTATTAACCCTGTGAAATTTGTTGCAATTTTCTATGTTGCCTGAGGATCTTGTAATGTTTTAATTTAGGCTGCCCAACTTAACATAACTTAACTTATTTGATATGTCAAATTCATTCCAAGGCTTTTCCTCTAATCAAAAGAAAACTTAATTATACTCAAGTTGCTGAGAAATTTGAAATTTTTTCTTCATTTATCCTTTCCCTTTGCCACTGCCACAAAAAGTTTTCCCTTGGAATTTATATTTTGTTTCTTTTACAGAGGGTGAACATGTAGTTTGCCATTCAAATATTAGCGTCAAGTTTGTTCCTAAGTCAAGTGATAATGATGCTCATGATTCTGGTGGGATGATGCTTGAAGATCAGAAAGAACTTACAAGCCCTCCGAAATGTAACGATCAGGATGCCGATCAGTTTGTTCCTAAGCATGACTGTTTAGGTCTTGATGATTTTAATCACTACAATGAGGTTGAAGCCTCTGTGTCACCGTTCACTAATTCTTCTAAAGTAGACTTGTTTGAGGAAGACTCAGAGCTATACATGGAAAAGAGTATTGTTGAATGTCAACTTCCTGAACTGATAGTTTGTTACAAAGAAAATATTTGCAATATTGTTAAGGATATTTGTATCGATGAGGGCGTACCCTCTCGGGATATGCTCTTGTGTGGTAATAGTTTGGATGAGAAGGCGGTGTGTGCCATTGCCCCTTCTGAGAAAGATTGGAAAGATGAGTTGGAAGGAGAACTGGAGAAAAGAAAGATGTTTTCTTCAGAGCATGCAGAATCTTTTTCCAACAAGGATTCACCCAAACAATGTGATTTGAAGGATTTGGGAAGAATACCTGAGGCAGAATATGATGTGGCGTATTTTACTGACAATGATATACCAAATCTTTCAATGAAAGACTTGGTTGTAGAGAGCTTAAAGCCATTGATCAACCATAAGGATGAGTCTCACCCTCAGTCTGAACAGGTATTCTTAATTTTTGGTAAAATGGATTTTTATTTTTGCTCTGTAACTCAACTATAGTTATATCCTAATTTAACATTATTTTTTTTATTGATGCTGGTGGAGTGGTGCGCATTTGAATGTGACAATATTCTGTTTGTTTTGATTCAGGTTTTTATTGAATCTGCAAGTTTGGAAGTCCCAGTTTCCGTATCTGCAGTTGAAGATTCTTATAGTACCACCGGGGAAGCAATAGCAGCATCCACAGAACCAAAAAATAGCTCTTCTGTGAACGAGATATCATACAATAGTAAAGTGGATAATGGAAACATTACTTTTGATTTTAATTCTTCAGCATCTATAGCTAGTGATGGAATGGAGCATCATGATAATGGCTACTCAAACTCTTCAGCTCCTACGACCAGCGCCTCAGTGGACTGCCAAGATACTAGCAGCCCTGACCCTTCAGAATCTGCCGATAAATCCCAAGTACAGTGCCATCATACTAGTAGTAACCCCAAATGTGTGGAATATGAAGACTTACCCAAGGCAGAAGTTGGGATTTCTRGTAGTYACTCRGTTTCAACCCAAGTTCAACATGGCATCGGGGAAACCAGTTTCTCTTCTATGGGACCTCTGGGAAGTCTGGTGTCTAATTCGGGCCGTATAGGTTACTCTGGCAGCATCTCTCTTCGATCCGACAGTAGCACAACCAGCACCCGTTCATTCGCCTTTCCCATGTAAAGTTTTTGATCCATCGTTTCTCTTATAGTGTCTGTATTATTTTTAGTCATTTAAACTTCAGAACTAATGAAACCAAAATCTTTATTTTCCTGCAGAATACAATCTGAGTGGAATAGTAGTCCTGTTAGAATGGCTAAAGCTGATCGCCGGAAGCATAGGGGTTGGAAACATGGCCTTCTCTGCTGTAGATTCTGAAAGCTTCTACTAATTTATCCATAGGTTTAGTGTCTGAAATATACATCACGCAAGTATTTTCTCGTCAAGTCGCTTAMATATAGTCCGATGTCCTCCCCTTACCTTCATTTGTTAGGTTCACTCTAACGTATGCAATATCATACAGGTTTTTTAGAATTTCAGTCTTTAAAGGAGCGCCATTGCTGCTCAACTTACAAAGAATGTTTACATGTTGTACGGTCATTTTACGAGATTAGTTGAAATATATGTTTGTTGATTYGAACACTCTGTGATTTTGAAACGAAAAAGAAAAAGGTGCAGAATAACACTGTTCTAATTGTTCTAACCAGCATGGTGACTGTAAAAGACTCAGTGATGAGTTGTCCTGCTTCCTTATTGGCTTGCCCAAGTGTTTTTATGTTTATGCTAAACCAAACAGGAAAATAGTTTTCCTGGGCTTCATGATACTGGAGAGGGGGAAGTGTTTGACAGAATAACATAATTTGGTTTTTGGAAAGGAGAAAACTTTTAGTGCTCAACACCACACTGCTATAAAACAATATATAAACAAAAATGTCATTACGTATAGTGGTGACAAAAGCTACCAGAATTGTGTAAGCCACCCTCCCTAAAAGTGAACTAATAACATATTATTTTGAAAATAATATTTTCCTGAACTAATAACATATTATTTTGAAAATAATATTTTCCTCTCTCTCTCTCTCTCTCTCTCTCTCTATTATATATATTCCTTTGGGGTCAGTCTTTGAGGCATGAAATCATTTACACTTGGACATGGGGTTGATAGTCATGGCCTCACTGTGCTGTGTTTCTCTCTTAATTCTTTTGATACCTTATGCTTCCTCCCATGCTCTGGAGCAGTCCTTCCACTTGCAAGGTGTATATCCTTCTCTCTTTTTCTTCTTCTTTTTTCTCTCTTTGAGAATAATGGTATAATATTTGTGATCTTGCAGCAACAGAAGCAGTGCGTTTTCGTCCGACGAGGAAGTTTAGACTGATGGAAGAGGCGGGAGCGGTGTGTTTGAAAATAGTTTTAAAATAAGCGATTTTATCTTAAGTACTTTTATTATAAATTCTTTAGTAACTTTCATGTTTATATGTTTCATTGTACACGGTTCTTGAGTGCTTCTCTAACAATACAAGTACTCTACTACAGCACAACTAAGTGCTTTTAACTTTTTCTAAAAGCATTAATAAATCATTTTCAAACATGATGAATTTGAGTTAGAAGAGCGTTGGCATATGACAAAACATATCAAAAGCACTCCCAAATATAGTTTTGTACATATCAAAATCACTTCCAAACAGAGCGTTCCAACCAATTTCACCATTGTTTTCTCTCTTTTTCTCTCTTTTTCTCTGTGCCTTTGACATTGTGATCACTGATGATTTTTCTGGAATCAGGTTAAAGCACATGGATCCCCAGTTCCCATACAAAACGATAACCACGAGGACAATGTTTCAGGTGATTTCTATGTTCATTTTCAAATAAAATCCAAAAATATGCAAGTTTTTTAGTTGCTATTTTCTGTAAATAACTCAGTCCTGTCATTTCTACAACCAGGCCATTGGATAAGTAGTCTGGTTATGGTTTCAAGTTTTAACTAAAAACTGCAACAAGTTTTCTTCCTAGAAGATGGAAAACTTGAGGCTTTGCCATATTTGAATAACACCAAAGTAAAAAAACAAAAACTCACTATTTTCTTTTCACTTTTTAGATATACACTGCAGTTTCAGATACTTACCCTGCCATTATTTTTCTCTCAAATCACCTTCAATTATTCATTCCCCTTATAGCTACTGTCCATTAAAGATATCATTGTGACTCTCCTTCAATTCCTGCCTAAAWTTTTTTCCTTTTATATTTATTGGTTTAAAATTTTAGTGGGTGAGTTTTTATTCTACGACGTGTTAGATATTTCAAGTCATGATAACAGTTAAGTTTCATCGTATAGTTTAAGCATGGATGACAATTGATATTGAATGCGAATTAGCGTCTTTGTTTACAATAATGATAATATATTTTTTAATAGATTTATTTGGAATATGAGTTTTATGAARAAGGGGAACTAAAACAACTGCAATTTACAGGCCAGCCTTATAAAAGGGAGCAAAAGGGAATGAACTTGAGCAGAAGGAAGGGGAGAAAGTGGCTGGATGTAGACGACATGTCGTCACGTTTTTTCACAATGGATTACGTTCACACGAGACGACGTCGTCCTGTACATAACATGTCGCGCCAGCGTCCTTGAAGTTGAAGTTGACGCAATTTTCTAATCTAACCCCCTATTTTCTTCTATTTCCAATTTTAACCCAAGGAAATCGAGGGATTTGCATCTTTAACCATCTATTATGGCCGACAAAACAAAACGGCGGACGACCTTATAATTAAAAATAATTAAATATTAGGGTGGGCCCACTTAGGGGTCTTGATGTAACTTCCATCATTCTATTAGGTGATGTATTTTTTACATTATTTGCATGCTTCTTATAATTATTTAATATTTTCTGATAGGAAATTAAGGATCATTGTCGTCGGCTAAAATRTTTTATACCATTTCTTTATTTTTTAGTTAACAATGGGAGTGAAAAATCAAAATCAAAGTTTCGAGAAGATATATCTTCTCAATTAGTTAAACTATGTTTAGATGGTTTTATTTTTAATTAATTTGATATATCYAATTCTTTTAAGTTTTGTTATTAAGATGGATCAAAATGATGTAAAACTACTCGATCATATTAAAACCATAATTCAATCATTATTAAAAACAACTTTTAAATGGTTGTTATTTTGATAAATTATAAAGACAATTGCTGTGTAAATTTTTGATATAAAATTTAGGGAAAATTACACAAACTACTTTTGAATCATGRAGATGGTTAACTTTAACTTTTGAGGCAAAACCCTCRTAAACAGTGTCACAACTTATAKTTGAAAGTTTAGTAGGAAGAAATATCATACTTCAAAAGTAATTTGTAGTTATATGTTCATTTAGATAAATTTTTATACACGTGAAATTTATGATTTTATTACTATTACTTCTATGTAGTTTTGTTCTTCAAATACAAATTTATTTATCTCAATTCATCTCTCTCTCTAAATACTATCTCTCAATATTTACAAATTTATCTCTCTCTCTTGATTTCTCATCCTTCTAATTTTCTCTAATTTTTATCTCTTACTAAATACTATCTGTTCGTCATTACAATTTTCAAATAAATTTAAATAAATGATAATTTGAGTAGGAAATTTGGATGAGTGGAGAAAAAAATAGTCTAAAAGTGAATGAGAAAGAAGAATAATGAAATGATTAAGAGAGATAAATTAAATTTTTTAGGGAGAGAAAATTAGTTGAGAAAAAATGGAATAATGAGGAGAAAAAATATTTAAAAATTAAGAGAGATGAGATGACAGTGGGAGAGAAAATTGGTGGAATTTGAGTTGATTTGGAGAGAGATGAATGATTAAAATTAAAGGGAAAAACAAGGAGATAAAGTTTGGAGGACAATTTACCAAATTGGCCAATTTGAACCTAATTGGACCGTTAAGACACCTATTTTATGAGTTTGAATTTCCATTACCAAATCGAAAATATGAAATATGATTGTAATTATCCTTCAAGTATTATTAAATTAACATGTGTTACATGTACACATGTTGTATGTCATAAAATGCTAATTTAACAATTGTCAACTTTTGTAAATAAATTTTGAACGAAAAATGTATGATTCAAAAGCGTAAAGATATAGACACGAACATAATTCAATTTGTTAAAGCATTATTCACATTAAATCTCCACCCGATTGGGTAAGAAATGAAAAAGTAAGGAAAAAAAATCAAGGACGAAAATGAGAATTATATAAAAAACCAGGGACTGTTTTGTATAACTTCGCTTTCCTTAAAATTGATTTTTACAATTAGAATTAGCTGACTAGGTAAATGGGCCTGGGCCCAAAAAGGACACAGAATCCAAATTAAGGCGTCTAAATAAACGTCTCCAATACGAGCGCGTATCGGCAACGAGAGTCGACAGAACAGAACAGAATCAGAATCAGAAAGAGAAAACGGAGGAAGCAAGAAGAAGAGTCAATGGAGGATTTATGGAAGAGAGCCAAAAGTTTCGCAGAAGAAGCGGCTAAGAAATCCCAGACCTTAACGTCGACCTCCACACTCTCCGAATTGGTCTCCGAAACTGCCAAAAAGTCCAAGGAGCTCGCCGCCGAGGCATCCAAGACGGCTGATCTCATTAAAACCGCCGCCATCCACCACGCCGATCACCTCAAATCACTCAACGTCTCCGACATTATTCCTCCTCAACTCTCTTCCATTTCCATCCCCAATTTCTCCGCCCCCTCCCCGCATTCTCACTCCGACCTCCACAAGTTTGGCCTCGACGACGATCTGAGGGACTTCGTTAGGGGCTTCACTTCGACGACTTTCCAGAACTTTCCGATCCAAGGTACGGCCACGTTCCCGGAATGTAGAGGTTCTTTTTTCAGTTTTGTGAATTCTGTGTTTSTTGAAATGCGTGATCGATGAAAAATGTAGACGCGCCGGAGGTCTCTGACGTATCGGTTACGGCCTCGAATGTGCGCAAGGATCTGACGGAATGGCAGGAACATCATGCCACGCTGGTTCTCACCAATGTCAAGGTGAGATCAAATGTTTTAAATCCTGGTAATTTCGTTGAATTCGATCAAATCATGTACCTTCTGCGTAGGAATTTATTGTCTCTAATGATTTAGTTTCTCTGGAGTTTTCACCAATTCCTGGATTTTTCGCTATTTCCTTTTGAACGAAGCAAAATTTCATAGATAATTGAAAAAGTACAGTTGAATTCGGTGGGAACCGAGCAGTCCTTCAATTCAACTGAGTAACTATCAGGCTGAAAACTTGGTTTTGATTTTCTGTCCATTGATACTTTAAATTTCTATTTGTTCTTTCTGGTTCTGAATTTAATTGCATCATTGCTTGTATGCTACTTTACCCGAAAAAGAAAAAGTAAGGAACACTTGCTACTTTCAAAAGCTATTGTTGGATGTGATTTTCAAAATCAAAAGTCTGACGTCCAGCCTTTTTTGTTTATTTAATTCCTGATATTGTCTCCCACATGCTAAGTAGAGATGGATCTCATTCTCATTTATCTAGAACTTGCGCCACAAGCAAGTATTGGGAAGAAGCATATGGAAAAAAGAAAGATTACTCCCAGTAGATGCACATGAATTTAGATGCACTTCATTTATCTGTTAGTTCAGAGTTTTTACCTTCGTATTGTGTCATCAGCTAGAGTAGATCATCTACTTTTATTTTGTCCCCGGACATGATTTCAATAATTCAATTTTATTCTCATCCATCCAAAATACAAATGAAAAAATGTTCTTATTTCTAGGACAATTATTTCTTTTGCAGGAAATTTCAAGATTAAGATACGAATTATGTCCAAGAATTATGAAAGAGAGGATATTCTGGAGGATATATTTTACACTTGTCAACAGTCATGTTGCTCCGTAAGTTGCATTTCATCTAATTGAAACTCTTTCACTCTAATGTTGAGAACAGTCTCGAATGCTTTGTTGTTTCCTTATTGTAAATTCAAAGAAATATACCACCACATTTTAATCATTTAATATAGAGGTCTTTCGATAGCCTTGGGAAACATAACTGTCGACTTCACCAGAGTGGAAAACAGTTGGAAGAGTTCTACGTGCTTCCTATTTCATTATTATTTATAAGAATGTTTAGGAATTATGGAAGTTAATTCTTTTACTATTGTGATATAGCCTGAGAATCTGACATTATATACCATTTAGAATTCTAGTCTGAAAAATGTATCACATTGGTGAATGAGTTCTTGTCAAGTTGCTGCATCTAATTTCATTTTGTGATCCTATCATCAAAAAGTTCTCTTAGTAGAATATAACCTTAATGATTACAACACAGATATGAGAAGAAATACATGGAAGAGATTAAGCTAAAGTCCGAGGAACAAAGAAAAGCTGATGAAGGTAAGCAAACTCCGTTGGTCGGAGCCTCCGAAAAAGTTGAAGGGACCGAAAAGAACCTGAAGGGCAAAACTTCCAATTTGTCATCTGCTGACCAAGACTTGGATACTTTTCTTTTGGGAGATCTTGAAGACAGTGATGGAGGAGGTGCAGGTAAATCCTATCCTCAATTTTGATGCATATCGCGATTTAACTAACTTTGGTCTACTCGACTACTTACCTCGGGTCCGTGGGGTCTTCCATCCACAAAATTCTTAGCAGAGATCTAGTTTAGTCTAATCGTGGGGACCTTTTGACAGTTCCCAGACTTAAGTATGGAGTTAGATTGTGAAGATTTACTGATTTAGAGCCATGCATGCTGCACTCACTATCCTAATATTGAGACTCTTGAGCATGTCGTGTTAAATGCAAGAATTGGCAAAACTAATTCTCGTCCTATTAAAATGGCCGCTAAACTACCCTACCCTCCAATAGACTGCTCTTTCTAAACACATATTTATGTTGGTTGCCATTCTTATTTCCAGATGATGGTGATGAAAGTTTCGATGATGACTTTGACAAGATTGAAAATTCGGTATGTTCCTTCGGTTAATGCTTTCCTTCTAAGTTCTACCGTCCCCACGAAGTATCCCATTTTCCATTCTAAAACTAATCTGAAAACTTCATGGTTGCTCACAGGACGTCGAAGAAGAAAACCCGAAGGGGGGAGCTGCAGCAAGTTAGAATCAAACGTACAATGAGATGAGAAAAAGATGCAACAGGTGAGACACGGGGTTTACAGGAGGAATCGTGGCTTGGCTTGACTTCCATGACAAATAGACAGACGGGCTGTTGAGAAGAAAGTGGTGGTGAATAGTGAATACTATACCTTATCGAAGTATTGCTTGCATAAGGAGAGGAAAAAAAAAAAAAAAGATTGCAGGTTGTTTCTATAGCAATATCAGTAAATTTTTACTCCCTATCGATTCTATTCAATTGTATAAACAAACCAACGCTATCATTGATTGTCGACTCTCTATATACTACTGGGAGTGGCTGGTGTTCCCTTGCTCGCAGTTGTACMAATCTGCAGCTCAACAAATGGAATTATTCTGTTCTTACTTTTTTTCTTTTGATGTCAATTTTCTTAGTTCACTTGACGAAACAGAACAGAAGGAAGCTACTTTTCAGTAAGAAATCCTCCATATTTTGCGTAATGTGGGGGAACCTGCACGTTATATATGAATTTGAATGTCACCATAATTTCAGCGCCTCCATTTTCAAGCGTAATGGCTCTCAAATCCCTGCTAAGAGTAAAGCCCAAATGCTCCATAAAAAAGTTATTGCTTCCTTCCTCCTCTTCCCCGTCGTCTTCGCTGTTCTCCTCATTCTGTAGAGACCGCAGCTTCTCCCTGCCTTCCGAATCCCCGCCAGCTGCTAAAAAGGTTCCGTTCAAATACTCAGTTCATGGCGTTACGCTGCAAGATCCCTTCCACTGGATGTCCAACACCGACGACCCCGATCTCGCCGACTACCTCCGCCGAGAAAACTTGTACGCCGAAGCTTTCATGGCCGACACACAGATTCTGCAGCGGCGGCTCTTCTCCGAGATGACGAGTCGAATGCCGGCCAAGGTTTCCACTCCTCCTGAGCCTTGGGGACCCTGGTCTGTTCATTTCTTCAACTTCTAATCTCATCTTGTTTCTCCTTCTCCGTTCGAAATGTCCTACCTCGTTTCGTAATCGCTGTTCTTCGTATTACGTTAATATTCTGTCTCTTGAGTTATTAGAGTTCTTAATTTACTGGATTTGCGGCCATGGTTGAAGCTGAATTTATCGATGCACCTGACCAGGTTTTACTACCAATATATTCCGGCGGGGAAGGAATACCCAGTTCTATGCCGTAGGTTACAGAATGAGAAAATCGGTTGGTTAAAGAAACTCGTGCAATTTGCCAGAGGAAATTTCGGGAAGGAAGAGGAGGAAGTTTTACTTGATTGGAATGAAATTGCTAAGCATTATGGTAATTTTTTCAAAAGCCTCTTTTCTTTTAATTGCACATCGTGATCAACAGATTCTCTTTGTAACTAGCTTCTTCCTTTAGTTCGTGTCTATTTAATTGGTGTACTGTTCACATCAAGGTGCTCTTCGTTTTCAATTACGAGAATTACGGCATTTCAGCGATAAGAGAAAGAACACTTTCTTATTTTCTTTTTCGGTTACCTTCTTCCCCACGTATGTATAAGATCGAATCCATTTCGATTTCGGTTTGTAGGCTATGTTCATGTGGGAACCTGTCGTGTTTCACCAGACCACAACTTTCTAGCATACACAGTTGATATTACTGGCAGTGAACACTTCATGCTTCAGGTTAAAGACCTGGGAAGTGGACTGATAATTCCCAAGTCACAGAAGGGAGTTGTAAGTTTGGCTTGGGCTGAAGAAGGCAGGACGCTTTTCTATACACAATCAGATGAGAATCAGCGACCTTACAGGCAAAATTCTGTCATCATTCTTATCTTTCTTTCAGTAATGACATTTCCTGACATTCCTTCTCTTCTGCTGCTACCCTAACATTTTAACAGGGTTTTCTGCACAAAAGTTGGATGTAGCGATGCAGAAGATGTCTCGGTGTTTGTCGAAAACGATCCCAACTTTTGTGTAGACGTAACAAGCACAAAAGATGGGAAGTTCATAACTGTTAATTCGAACTCGAGGACTTCTTCTGAGGAAGGAACTTACCTATTTCAAATTTTCCTTATTCAATCTTTTTTGCTTTAAAAAAAAGAATTATCTAAGTGAACTTTGGACTTCTGTTCTGAGACTCCACTGGTTTGTTTATCTCAGGTTTATATTATAGATGCCAACAACCCATTGAGTGGTTTGCAAAGAATACACAAACGCATTCCTGGAATTCAATACTTTCTGGAACATCATTTTGGTTTCTTTTATATCCTAACAAATGCTCCTCTAGAAAAGAATGGGGATTGTTCCAAGGAAGAGTATTATGTAGCTCGATGTCGAGTTGAAGATATTAAGTCTTCAGATTGGCAGGTTAAATTTATGCTAAACTTGCACCAGATCTTATCTCAATTTTCCTTCTGTGATGCGTTTCTTACTTTTAATATTTTGTTACTACCAGTCAACTAATCCCTTTCTCATCTTCCACATACCTCTTCATGTGTATGTATTTTAGGATGCCATCCTTCAGAGTGAAGATTTCAGTATACAGGATATGGATATTTTTAGTGGACATCTCGTGCTTTTTGTCAATAAGATGGGCGTTTCAATGTTATGTGCAATCAATTTGCCTTTAGATACTAATCATAAGGTATAGAGGTTTGTCTTTCTTGCCTTATTTCTGTGGCTAAATAAACACCAGTGTGACAAATCTAATATATCATTTCATGTCTACTTGTTCTGCAGCATCGATTGGAAATCGAGAAACTTGACCCCTGGTTTTTCCCACTTCCCTCAAATTCCTGTAGTGTAGCTCCAGGTTCAAACCATGACTTCATGAGCTCGTTATACCGTGTGGTGCTTTCGTCTCCAGTGGTATATCTGCATAATTTTACGCTTTTCATAGAATGTCTTAACATCTACTCACGTATCTGATTTTGTCTTATGAGTTGTTCTAATTTCTTCCTTCTTAATTCCAAGTGCATTTTCAGTTCCTTCGAATCATGATAGATTGTCCAACTCCCAAGTTCAGTTTTATAACTAAAAATATGATAAAAATCTATGGAATCGTTTGCTTCTCATTCCTCTTGGTAAAAACTATCTATAAAAGCAATTTCCCCATGCGAGTTTTGACATCATGAATTTGCTAGCATACAAGGTCATAATTAGAACTTAGAATAGAGTTTGAAACTTCAATTTACCCCTCTCTGCTGCCACATATAACCTTTCTAAAATTTCTTTCCTCTCATGGATCCACCAGATGCCAGATTTGGTTGTTGATTATGACATGTCTAAACGGGTCTTCTCAATTATTCAACAAGAGGAAGTACAAGTTAAGCACGATGTTCAACTTAAAACATGCCTGCCGGATGAGTTAGATGTCGAAGAAGTTTCAACTGCAGAAAACAAAATAGCGAACTTCCAGAATAGTGAATCCCAAATCTCGAAGGACTTTTCTGATGCATATTGTTGTGAGAGGAAAGAAGTTATATCACACGATGGCATCAGAATACCCTTAACCATATTGTATTCTCCAGTGAATTTTCACAAAGGACGGTCCCCTGGAGTTCTACATGGGTATGGCGCATATGGTGAAATTCTGGATAAAAGTTGGTGTCCTTATCGCCTGAGTTTACTCGATCGTGGTTTTGTGCTGGCATTTGCCGACGTCAGGTGTGTTCTATCATGATAAAAAAAAACTTCTTCTTTTTCATTTTCTTTGATTAAAAAACGTACTTTAGAACCTTGGACGTGATTTTGAGGATTTTTGTTGTGCAGGGGAGGAGGTGGTGGTGGTGATTCTTCATGGCACAGAAGTGGGAGTGGGCTTGAGAAACAAAATTCAATACATGACTTTATCTCTTGTGCGAAGTTCCTCGTTGATAATGACTATGTTCATAAAAATCAGCTCGGTTCCATTGGGTACAGTGCTGGAGGTCTTCTCGTTGGTGCTGCTATTAACATGCGTCCAGACCTGTTTCGTGCAGCCATTTTGAAGGTTAGCGAATTTCCTCATTGATTGGAAATGCATTCTTAATGTTTTCCTTACGTTCTTTCGTTTTCTGAAGAATCGGATGGAGGATATGAATGGTTTCCTTAAATTAATTATTCAAGTTCAATCCTAAGTGTTATTTTTTTATCCATCTGGGATTCATTTTAAGAGGGAGAGATAGCCCTCTCGAAAAACTAGTATATTTTCTCGATGATATTATAATTTATAATGTAAGTTCAGCCCTCTTTGGAAGACTTACCATATGTTAATTTCTTTGATGTTCTGACTTTATGTAATTCAAAGGATGAAAGCTTGCTTTGTTATTCTCAGGTAGTTTATAATGTTGTTATGGTGACTAAAGTTTTGCCAGCGTGTATCAGGTTCCCTTTCTTGACATATGCAACACACTGCTCGATCCCTCTTTACCTCTCACCATTCTGGATTATGAAGAATTCGGAAACCCACAGTTACCGAAGCAGTTTGAGTCCATTTTGAACTATTCTCCTTACGATAACATATCTCGGGGAAGTTGTTATCCTCCAATGCTTGTCACATCATCATTCCGTGATGCAAGGTACTTTTTTTTCCCCTTTTAACTGATTATAATGTTTTTTCCTTTTAGACATGCATATTTATTCCTTCTCAGGGTTGGAGTATGGGAAGCTGCCAAATGGGTGGCAAAAATCCGAGACACTACGTGCTCTCGGTGTTCGACTTCTGCAATTTTAAAGACCAATATGCTTGGAGGACATTTTGGTGAGGGTGGTCTCTATGGTGGATGTGAAGAGACAGCTTACGAGTACGCTTTTCTCATCAAAGTCCTTGGAACTTCTGACCACAACTGAACTTTCGCTCACTGTAACAAAATAACTCCAATCTCAGGTAAGGATAAAGAATCTTTTGAAACTTATCTTACAAATTTAAAGTTAGTACTGAAGCTTTGGTCTTTTCCAATTAAGAAGTTAGATTAGACCCCCCGGGCCCCGATGGCTAAGGCCAACAGGTCTCTAAGTAATACCTATCTAGAACTAGAAGTCGCGTGTTCGAATCTTCGAGTGAGCTTAATAAGAAAAAATCCTTAATGCCTCTAGACTCTAGCGTTTGGGCGTTGGAGCCTAATTTAAGAAGTAAGAATAGTTCAGTCTTCCATATACGTCTAAATTTCAGCCTAATGTGAACCAATTATGTTATTTATATTATGCTTCTACATAAACCAGGACAGCGAAGGTTAAGAGCACATCAGATAGAAGCTTTCTGCAGTTTTAAATATGTATTTCAATGATCATTTCTGCATAAGTTATACATAAAATATAATATAACCGTGACAATGTATGGAATTTGAAAATCTAGAAATAGTACATGCTTAACACAGGGCATTTGACTTGACAGAACTTGATGACCTGTGCCTTTCATGTTTGGCAACCAAGTGAAGCCACAATTTCAGGCAATGCATATTTAACACATGATGAAATTGAGAAGTGATGAATATTTCTTGATTTTGCAAAGGACCAGGTCTTGCCGAAGCTTGTATGGAGTAGTAGATATTGGCCATGGATGAACCACAAGCCTAACTAAACCGCACCTTGTGAGCAGAAGAGAAATGCTTTGCTGCAGCTACCATGGCTGCCTCTGGCCCAGATGGAGGTGCCTCTGCATTTCCACCATTACAGCCAAGTAAGCTATAAATGAATGACTTTAAACTTGACCAATACAAATTCTCTTTCTTGCCCCCTCCCATCTTTTTTTCGAGAAAAAGACGAATGAACAACCGAACAAGAAACGGTTTTTGGGAAGTAGAGGACAGAGGAGAAATCTGGGTCTGAACTTGTTGAGAATTTGGTTGGAATGTTGTTAAGGTGAGTGAAAAGTTGTGTGTGATCCTGCCGTATTTATAGTCAGAAGAAACAAGTTTCCTTGACAATCAAGAAAAAAATTCCATCTTTGACAACATGGTTCTGCTGACGTTTCTAAGAAACTCCATTGTTCTTCATATTGTAGCATGGAAACAACATTTTTTTGACTTTTCTGCGTTTCCATGGTCAAAAGTATTGAAGAAAATAAAATAGGAAGTATTTTGATAGGTTTTTATCTTAATTTCTTGCTTATTGCCCAAGTCTTAACACTTAAGACACTTTGGTGCTTTTGAAGAGCATGATATTCGGAGAAATTTCTCGAGGGTTTTGAAATATTGTGGCTAGCAATTTATAAATTGTAATTCTCTTTAAAAAAATTTAAAAATTGTAATTTGAACCTACATGGAAGGGTTATGAAAGGATTAACGAATTATGAATCACGTTGAGCAGTTATTAGGGGGCAAAGCAACTATATTGTGATAGTCGCATTGAATACTTTTTGTGATATTTTTGTTCAACGCACGTTAAATGTTAGTCACTTATCAGTTATTACAATAGAAGAGTTATAAATTTAGAGAAACAAAAGTATCTGAATTTTTGAATGCATATAAATAATTACCGATTTTTTTTCTTGAAGAACTTAAATTCTTCATAAAAATGTTGAATTAATTTAGATGTTTTTCGAACCTTTTGACATGAGAGTTCAATGTGTATGCATCATGACTAGTTTCTTCAACCTCTTCAAATATTGTATATTTTGTTGCTTTTTTATAACTTTATCTGCACAAAAACAAAATTTAAATTTGAGTGAGAATTATCAAAAGGTTTTAAAATAATATTATCTTTGTGTTTATATTTTTAATTAATAAATGTTATGGTGTGTGGCGCGTCTTGCTTATTGCCCACACATTGTCCTTGAAAATAGATAAAAGTCAAATTCTTACGTGTTCAGTGGGTGCCAAAAGAAAATTAGTCAACCAATGTAGATTCTTATAGTTTCAATTTTCATGAATATGCTTACATTCAAAATAATTCAAATATGTGTTCTCTTCAATACAGGGCCTTGGGCTTGGCCCTTTACTTTTGGGCCTGTAGCGGTAGATAAAGCCCAATTTTCATCTTGCAAAATGGACCTGCTCAACTATCTTGGAGGTAATAAAAAAAAATTACTTCTTTCTGTTGCTTACCAATTAGCATAAATAATACTCCATCTAAAACATTTTTTAATTGATCAAGACATTAATAATCTTTCTGGTATTCACTCTGGTTTATCAATTATAATGTTATATTCTAAAAAAAACATACAAAAATAAATAATTCGACTCCAAATAAAATTTAAACCTGCTATTGGACGTTAGAGATGTTTTA